AATTGAGTACCATCTCTATTTCTATATCTATATACCTCTATATGAAAGTTTTACTTTATAAGGAAATTAAACTGTTCTTTATTATAGTTCATGCCAATATAGCATTATTACCTATTTTGAGAGTCATGGCACCACTATACCCTATTGTTATGAACCCTAGAAGTAGGTACTAAGCATTAGCCTGTTTTCTTTTAGTAAGTGAGAAAATAAAGGAAATATTTAGTCAATTATAAATTAAATAATCCATAATTCATAATGATGTTAACAATAAAATTGTTAAGATAAATAAAAACTATAAAGAAGAATAAAGGAGAAGATTCTAAGGGGAAGCTTGATGGATTCATAGTGAGGATGAACTTGCGGAGGGTGAGAGGCAAGGGAATATTGACTCTAGTTTTGAGGTTTCAAGAATAGATGTCTGGGATAAATGTGATCATAAAAAGGGAGACTGAGGACAAGTGCAGGTTTTGGAAGGAAGGCGATGGGATCAGTGTAGACATGTCGATTCTGTGTAAAAGTGTGACATCCAAATGGAAATGTTCGGTTAGAAGTATGGAATATAGTAGGACAGGAGATTTGAGAATTACAAACACAGAAATGAAAAAGAAAGTGGGGATGAATTTTAAGGAAAATCTTAATTTGGGGGATGGAGTAGAAAGAGGACCATAAAAATAGGTATGGGGATATTTTGAATAGAACATTAAAGGTGACAGTATAAAACAGGCTTAAAGTGAGAACCAATCAGAAGAGTTTGGGGTTACATAGGATAAAGGGGGAGGGCATTCACAGAGGAATTGGTAAAATCTGAAGCAAAAAAGTGAACTAGTGCTTCAAAAATGTACTGGGGTGCCTGGGTGGCGCAGTCGGTTAAGCGTCCGACTTCAGCCAGGTCACGATCTCGCGGTCCGGGAGTTCGAGCCCCGCGTCAGGCTCTGGGCTGATGGCTCAGAGCCTGGAGCCTGTTTCCGATTCTGTGTCTCTCTCTCTCTCTGCCCCTCCCCCGTTCATGCTCTGTCTCTCTCTGTCTCAAAAAAATAAATAAAACGTTGAAAAAAAATTTAAAAATGTACTAATTAAGATGGGAAGGCATCACATAGTATTTGGAACCAGGAAGACTTGCCCCAACATTTACTAGCTAAATGACTTTAATCTTACTTGGCTGTTTTTACTTATCTGTAAAATGGTGGCAATATATACTTCTTAGGATTATTGTTGACATTAGAGGTAATATAATGTATCTGCATATAATTGGCATGTAATAAAACATAACTGAAATTTTTTTGACTTCTAGAAAAGTTTCAGACTGTTTTAAGCAACCTAAACTATAAGGATAAAGTGTTTTGGTTTCTTTCTTTTTCTTTCTTTCCTTCCTTCCTTCCTTCCTTCCTTCCTTCCTTCCTTCCTTCCTTCCTTTCTTTCTTTCTTTCTTTCTTTCTTTCTTTCTTTCTTTCTTTCTTTCTTTCTTTCTTTCTTTCTTTCTTTCTTTCTTTCTTTCTTTCTTTCTTCTTACATAACAATTTAGGTGAGGAAACAGACCTGATAATTTGAAGAGAAATAATAGTAATTCCATAAGGAGAACACTGTTGTAGACACTTATTTCTTCCTCCTTGACAGACCTACAATTTTCTTTGGATGTGCTCCATGAAGCCCATGCTCCTGAGGGGAAGTTGACTTCACCCCAACCAAACTTGGGTCTTGTTTGTCTAAGTTAGAGACTCCCAAATTTCTTGATTCCCAGGGCCCTTAGTATCTAAGTAATTTTATCATAATGTCTCTAGGCAGAAAAAAATATCTCACAGCTCCAAGCACAGCTTCTTCAACCTGGAATCAGATTATATATCACCACCTTCATTACGTCAGCTGTATTGATTTTCATGCCATACTTGTTTTTCTTACAACAGTAACTGCTAAGAACCCAGCTTCTCAAAGATATGACATCATTGAAAAGAATGTAATGGGATGTAATGTTGAACTAGTGAATTACCTTGAGCTAACAGTTTATGTGGTGTCCTGCAGATGTTGAGTATCCCTGTATTGCTATCAAAAATATGAAATATATTGTAGTACTCTTTTGGGTTTACTCAGGAGTGCTCTTTCACACAGTTTTGGAACACTCATGTCTATGTGTAATTCTGTACTCTTTGCTAAGGATTGGTTCAGGAGGAGGTATGTGGTCTAATTTCAGCAACTAAGGCAGAAATAATGACCTTTTAAAAAATGTAGATTTAAATTATTATTCATGTGTGGTGAGGCCAACAGATTGTTGAAAAGATAGTTTATTTTACAGATACCAAGAGGAGGGGGCACACACTGCCATGGGGGACCACATGGGGAAAGCACCAGGTTTGGTCAGGCAGAGGGAATGAGGGGGAAAATGTGAGCAAGATCCTTTATTGTGATTTCCATATGGAGGAACAGACAAGGCAGTATGAGCAGGTTTAGGATTGGCCAGTTTGAATAATTTTAGTGGGTGCTAGGGCATTAGGGTCTATCCTCAGTTGTCCTGTAGCAGCCCTGGGGTGATTAGGGCAGGGGAATAATGGCCTTGAATGGAAGAGCTCAGTAAAAGAGGTGATTGAGGGTAGGGGTTAGGATTGGTTGGTTTGTATGTAAAAAGTACTTGCAGGCCAGTCTTCTGCTATCTTCAGGAATTAGCTGGTACCCTACAAGGTCAGCATTGTGTCAGATGGCAAAGCATCAAAAACACATGATTAATAAAATGACAAGGCATCTGAATGCTTTTTCCTGGTGCTTCTGGTACAGTTGTGGAAGTGTTGCCCTTTCTCTGTCTTTGGAGATGTGAGAATTAGAACTGGTGCCACAGTCTTGCTACCATCCTGAGGATGAAGCTGGGTCAGGAATATAAGGTGGATATAAGAGCATCGCAACACAACAGGTTGGAGTAATTTATGTTTAGTTTATCCTGACCCTTGTCAGTCTTTAGACCTTTACGTATGTGAACTAATACATTTTCTCATTGTATAAGTCAGTTTATTGTTGCTATTTGTTATTGTTGTTGTTTTTAGATTTCCTGTTACTCTTACCTGTGCTGTTCTAACATTTACAAAACCACCATGTGAAAACCCACAGGATCTCTTTGGAGGGGATTAATTTTCCATAGGAAAGGAGAAATTTTCCAAGTCTGTTTTTGATGATATTAAGATGTGTTACTGAGGTTTGCTGAATGTCTGCCTTCATAGCATAAAGGGAGAATGCAAGGCTTTTTAGTTGCATTTGCATTCAATAGATGACTGAGTTTGCTGATCTAAGTATCACATCTTTTTTCAAAAATCATTCTGAAATTTGTAAACACTGCTGGATAGGAGAAAGTTATGTAGTATTTCTATAATAATGTCTCATTTTCAATATTTCATACTAGGGTAATGAAAATTCACATGGAGATGAAAAATAACTTACAGGTTTTAGTGTAGGAAAACTATTATTTTCTTGTGGAGAGGTGGCTACCAGGGGACAATCTGAATCAAACCCATTTGTTCAGTTTATACATATATATATATACATATATGTTTATATATACATATATACATACATATATATATAGTGTGTGTGTGTATATATGTGTGTGTGTGTGTGTTTGTGTGTGTGTGTATATATATATATATATATATATATATATATGATAATAGTATTCCCCTACCCCAAGATTCAACAATTATGCTAAGTAGCTTACCTAGAAGTGTGTATATGTGTGAATTTGTATGTGTATATACACATAAACACTTTAATTTTTATTGACGTATAGTTGATACACAATGTTATATTAGTTTCAGGTGTACGACATAGTGATTTTACAAGTCTATATGTTATGCTATGCTCACCTCAAGTGTAATTACCATGTATCACTATGCAATGATTATAATACCATTGACTATATTCCCTACGCTGTACTTTTATCCCATGTGACTTATTCCATAACTAGAAGCTTGTATCGCCCACTCTCCTTCACCCATTTGCCCATCCCCTACTCTCCTCCCCTCTGGCAACCATCATTTTATTCTCTGTATTCATAGGTCTGTTTCTGCTTTTTCGTTTATTCCTTTGTTTTGTTTTTTTAGATTCCATGTATCAGTGAAATCATATGGTATTTGTCTTTCTCTGACTTAGTTCACTTAGTATAATACCCTTCAGGTCCTTCCACATTATCACAATATCTATACTACATCTTCTTTTTTCATTCTTCTATTGATGGAGACTTGAGTTGCTTCTGTATCTTGGTCACTGTAAATAAACCTAGTGGTGTGTATATGTTTTCAAATTCGTGTTTTCATTTTACTTGGGTAAATACCCAGTAGTGAAACATTTGGACTATATGATATTACTATTTTTAATTTAAAAACTTAATTTTATTTAATTAATGAATGCACATTGTTTTATTAAAAATCAAATAATACCAAAAGTGATTATAATGAAAAATGGTATATGCCTTTACTTCCATCCAATTTCAGTTTTCACGGTTAACAGCTTTTAGCTCTTTCTTCCTGTGATGTCCATCTTTTTCTGTATAATGTTTTTACTGTTTTGTTGTTTGGTGATTTCGTTTTAGTTGTTATGCAGTGACAATTTTTTATTATTTGTATGTTTAACTTCCTTGGACTTCCACCTCCCTTTCCCTGTCCTCCTAATGCAGTTCTTACATTCATTTGAGTAGAAGCAGTAATCCGTGTTTATGTCATTATGACAATGTAGATACTGTTTGTTGAGTTAAGAACTATAGTAAAGTTGCACTAATAGTTGCTTTATTTTTATTTGCCTAATTTAAAAATATGTATTTTTATTTTTCCATATATGTTATATCATTTATCGTATCTATTTATCAAGTTGGTATTTTTCCTGTAAACCTGACCTTAGAGATTTTCTTCCTGCTGCTTGAATCTGGCCTTGTTGCTTTCTGGGCCTGTTGTGCTGCACTGCTGTGAAGCTATGCGTCTTCTTTCCCATTCTCCCATCATTTCCTGAATCCCGTGTCTTCTACTTTCTAGGTTTGATCTCCTGTTTTGCTAAAGCACATTCTCCAAGAGGGGTTGCAAGGCAGTTCTACCATATTAAAGGTATCTTTTATTCTGCTTTTGGGTTGGGTTTAGTTTTAAAAAAATTCTTCTAGAATTTTGAAGTCATTCTCCATTTTCTTCTTACATCCAGTGTTGTAGAGAAATCTCATGCTATTCTGGTTCTCTGATATTTCCCTTCTCTCCAAGTCTCACTTGTCCTTAAATTTTGCATTCATTATTTTTTATTTTATTCAACTGTCCTCTTGATAATATCCTAGTATTTTATCTAAGCCACTGTTGATTTGCAGTGGCCATCTAATTGATCTGTCTCCATGTGCCACTGATTGTTTTCAATATGGTGTTCTTTTAAAACTCAAGTTTTACCATATTATTTTTCTGTACAAAACCCCCTTGGTTTCCCACCACAGAGTAGAAGACCTCATGTGATTTGGCCCTCATGTTTTTCTCCACTCTAGTTTTTGCTCTCTCCTTTCCTACATACTGTTCTTTTTTCTGTTGTTACCTTTCAGTTGACTACTGTGTGTAAAATTTGTTCGGCTCTTATATGTTCATTCATCCTTTTTTGCTTTTATTTTTCTCCATAGCACCCCCATATCTTATATGTATCTTACATATTTATTTTCAGTCTTTCACCATACTAAAATGTAAATTCTGCATTTGCAGGGATTTTAGTCTATTATTTCTTACCTGTTGTATCTTAACAGCTAGAGGGGTGCTGGCTTATTATAATAGTACAGTAAATATTTTTCATTAAGTGATAAAATTAAAAAATAGTAACTAAGAAATAAAGGTAGAGCAGGAGATACAAACACCACAACTGGTGAGGAACACTAAATGCAACTGAGTACAAAAATGGGCAATTAGAATAAATGGGTTGCATAGTTTTCATTGTGTTGTGGTAACAAGCATAAATTTTATCACAAGAAACAACCTTTACTCCTGGACATTCTGAGAAAAATTTATCATGAGAAATTTTATATAAGGGCATGGAATAAATTTATTAATTTTAACAAAAAATTTCCTTATGTTGTTGTCATTATTATCAAATCAGTCTTGTCTAATTAAGAACAATTCTTTAGAAAGGCACTTGACTTGCTGGGATGAGCACGGGGTGTTATATATAAGGGATGAATCACTGGGTTCTACTCCTGAAACCAATACTATCACTGCATGTTAACTAACTTGAATTTAAATAAATAAATTAAGAAAAACACAATTCTTTAGGAAGTCAGAATGTCATTGCTTTGGATAGGTAGTTTAATATAAAGATGAAGTCTGAAGAATCTTGAAGAATAAATATTTGTCTACCCTTCAGAATGTTTTTCTCAAATACTAGTTGTCTCAGCCAGTCTTTGGAAAATAGTCAGATAGCAGGTTAGTCATGACTTAGGTCTCCAGCAAAAACTGAAGTGCAGGTGATTTCTGTAATTGAAAGGAAATTCATGTCCTCTAGATATTTGTATGAGTGGCCAAGACATCTTGTGAAGGAAAAGTCTTTATATTTTGCTTCTGTAGAGGGTCAGTATATACCTGTGTGGGAACGACCATCTGTGAGCGGGGCCAGGGAACTTGTTGGTTTTTTCAAAGAAAGCAATATTTGATCTGAAAAAGAACCCACACTGAAACTTGCTTGAAGTCCCAATATTCTGCCTATGATAGGCAGGTCAGAAGCACAAATTTGCGAGCCATTGGTATATAGGTACATATTGATTCTGCAAAGACACATAAGATTATGAGGAATAAATTTTTGAGGTAGAAAGATGGCTACCCTGAGATTGTTGCAGAATATATTTAAGATGTGGTAGGAGAAATATGGAACATTTAGTTGCTTTTTGATTACTTGACTTCTGAAACTCCTTCCTGTGCTAGTCTCTTATGGGGCAGTCTCTGGGACCATTGGTGAGATGGTGTTAGAGGCAGTAGCTACATGCAGGCCTCAGAAGCAGTAATGACTCTTGTTTCATGGACAGTTTCTAGAATGCTGAGTTGTTAGTGGTGGTATTGCAGCTTCTCCTGTTGCTACCCAGGGCTAATGACAGATGTGTCTTCATAGGAGTAGCTTTTCCGCATGATTTTAGATGTTGTTTCTCCTTCATAGCCTACAAACATATTTCTAAACAATTTGCCAAAGTGATTTTACCAATTAATATTTCTACCAACTAATACCTCCCCTCCAAGGAGAGCTGCAGTTGTTCAAAATCTTCACCAACACTTGGTATTATCTCTGATCATACATTTTTGATAAGTTTTTTCTCTTTAAATCTGTCAAAATTTGTTTGTTTATTGGTTGACCAAAACTAAGAACCATGTTTGATGCCAAAGGGATGCATGCAGGATCAGGGAAACATGAGCAGGAAGTATGAAGTAAAAGGGGAAGTCCGAAACTGTAAGAGAGAAGTTTATTGGTGTGAATAAAGTCTCAGAAGATATGGGCATGGAGTCTTGGGGTGAAAATTTGGGAGCAAGGACACAAGAGAAGGCATGGGAGAAGGCACAAAAATATAGAGGGAAAGTAAAGACAACATTTTCATATAGAAACCTACAAAATAGTAAATTTTTAAAACAGCAACAATTTATTTAAGGTACCTCAAAATTTTACTTGAAATCCATTTATCTATAAATGTGACCCTGTATGTGAAGTTTAACCTTAGATAAGCCCTGGATTTGGCAGTACATACACTGATAATTAAAATAAAATGTTTTTATACTACTTGATTTCTCATATAAAATTATAAACTTATTAATTTTCCAAAATAGCCATAACTCTAAGAAACACCCATTCTTTTTTCATAGTTTCTGTTTGAGGAGAAGGGAAACTTCTGTAAATTTCTTTAGGATTTTTATTAGTTCTCTCCTTAAGTGTGGCCCTTACTTTGCTTCCTATTGCTGCTGTAACCAAGTTACAATAAACTCTGGCTCAAACAACACAGATTTACTATCTGACAGTTCTGGAGGTCAGAATTCCGACACATGTCTTACTGAGCTAGAATCAAGATGATGGTAGGACTGAGTCTCTCTGTAGGCTATAGCAGTTGATCTATTTCATTGTCTTTTCAGCTCCTTGCATTCCTTGGCTCATGCTCCCAATCCATCTTCAAAGCTGGCAGCATAGCATCCTCAAATGTTTCTCTAACTCTGACCTTCCTGCCTTTCTGTATCACTTACAAGGACCCTTGTGACTATATTGGGCCCACCCAGGTAATCCAGAATAATATCTCCATTTTGTGGTCAGCTGCTTAGCAACCTTAATTCCCCTTTACTGTATAACTTCACATATTCACAGTTAGATATGCTATTTGTGTGGCAGTTATTCAGCCTGTCACACTCAGAAGGGAGAAGAAATCAGTATTAGTGAATTTTATCTGCCTACTATATATGGATAGGTGATGGTCTTTTTCTTGTGAGTTCTTTTAAGGACATTTCTTTTAATAATTGGAAAAGAAGACATAATGCCAGTGAAAAGAAATTCATGCTTCTGAAGCTTTTCTTCATAGGCTGAGTCTTTGTGAAGTTTCATGCAAATAGTTCAGAAGTAACATTTGTCTGCTGTGGTCACTAAAATCTACATATACTCCTGAAAAGGGTTACAAATTATGAACTTTCACAATACTGTACTCTGTAATCATATTCTGTTTTATGTATGCCTTGCTATACGTTATTTACTTAGCAATAATGATGCTGTTACCCATTGAAAAGAAAAATAAACATTGAAAATCCTGGTCAGGCACAAAGTATGCTATTGGCATAGATCTCTAATAAAACTGATTTAGCTTTCAGCTTTATATGGATAAAAGCTGACATTGACCTTTGTGTTCAGTGCTTGGTGTGTTTTTTAAAAGCCTGTATTATTGTGAATTCTATATTCTTTATATGATAGCACTAATTTTCATATCTAATTTATGGGCTTCCAAAGGCTTTCTACTAGGTTGAAGTGAGATAATTACCACAAGTGATATGAACTACAGAATTCTACCACAAGTGTTATGAACTGCAGAATTCTATTTCATTAGAAAATCCAATTTCTCTTTTTACTCATGTATTACTATTAACTTTCACTTTTGTCTCATACATAGATTTTTTTTTTTAGAGATACTTATAGTGAGATTTGGACTAATATGGCCTACCCATTGTTACTTACTGTTCTTAAAATTTGTCTTGAGAATATGCAGTGTCCATGAAAATCAAATCATTTGTCCATATTACAACTCCATAGAGATTAGATGTATGATTTTTCCTAAGATTGGTCATAATGATAGATTAATTTTAGCATATTGGAAAGAAAATGATAACACATTGAGTACTAAAACTTTGATATGCTTACTTAGAAAATTGTATTGAGGGTAACACATTTAAATTATGTATCAGTCAGATCTAAACTTTTTAAAAGATGGTTTGACACATAGAAAGTATATTTGGTCTTCAAATTTTGCTTTTCTTACATCTGTTTATGCCATTATTATTCTATTCCTTTAATTCTTATTTCTCTCCAGATTTTCAGAGGAGTTATTATTGCATATCACCTTTCATTTAACCACATATAGTAATATACTTAGTTTTGGATACTGCATTTTTCATATAATGTTATGCTGGAACTCTTTTCTATGCCATTTAAAAATATATAAAAAATATGACTTTTAATACTTGGATAATAACTATTGCTTGATTGTTTATAATTTTTAGTATTATAACTAACATTAAAAAGACATTTAAACCTTTAAACTTATGTCTGAAATCAGATCTGGAAATCAGTCATAGGTTTTCTATATGATGGCCTCATTCTTACTATTTTTAAAATAGTTTCTCATTATAGTTTTGCTTTGAACCAATGGCTGTTTAGGAGAGTGTTAGAGTATTTTCAATTATAAGTTATAATTTTTCTCCATTGAATGTTAAAAAAAAGTTCCAAGCTGTCATGAATTACAATCAAACTGTGTAGTTTCTGCTTTTTGGAATTGTTTGGGAGGGGGTTTCTTTAAAGTTATCAGAGTCAAGAATGAAATGGGATTTGTGAGATTTCCTGAGAGTGAGATGCAGAATTTGATTAAACTTTTTGAAGTTCCATCTGAAACACTCTCCTCCTCCCCTCACTACACATCTAGTTGATACTGTAGAGATTAGATACAGTTTATCGTCATTAATTTATGTATTTTTCATTATGTTCATTTTATTTAAATTTTTTTTTTTCAGTTCCACTTGAAGGACATTTCTGGATTATCAGAGGGTTTTTTTATTTAGCAATACAGGAATTTGCCAGGAGTATTTGTATTGTATTTGTATTGTATTGTATTGTATTGTATTGTATTGTATTGTATTGTAGAGAGAGAGAGAGAGCATGAGTGGGGGAGAGGGGCAGAGGGACAAAAGGAGAGAGAGAGAGAATCCCAAGTGGGCTCCATGCTCAGAGCAGAGCCTGATAGAGGGCTTGATCCCATGATCCTGAGATCATGACCTGAGCTGAAAATCAAGAGTTGGACACTCAACTGACTGACACACCCAGGTGCCCCTGCCAGGAGTATTTTTATGTAGAATACTTTTGATTTTACTTAGATCTGGTGAGTCACATCTGCTTGCATATATTCATTTTTTTTCGGTTCAGAAAAGTTTCATCAATTGTATTTTTGATATTGCTTTGGTTTTAATTGTTTTGCTTATTTTAAGAAATAGCCGCAATTATTATGTTAGATGTACATTTTTTAATTCCTATTATTTGCATAGATGTGGTGCTTTTCTTTTCCTCTATATTTTTGATGAAACTTCTCATGTTTACCTGTACATTTCAGTTCCAGTTTTTTGCAGTGTCTGTTCTTCCATTTATTTCTCCCAATAGAAATATTGAACTTGTGTTGTATTTTTAGTTTTCTTTTAATTCTCACTTTTATTTTATTTAGTTCTTTTTCATTTTCATCTAGTTTAGTGCCTTTTAGGGCTTTGGCTCCCTTGTTACAGTGTTCCTTCTTGTGTTATTGTGAGGATGCCAAACAGTTTTCACAGATTAATTTCTTTTCTTATTTTATGCTCTATTCATGGAATCCCTTGACAGCACTCTCTCCTTCCTCTCTTTCCACATTTATGATGAGTTTTGTCTGTTTTTTGTCTGGTTTGTTCATTCTATATTGAACACCTACTATGTGCTGACATCATGATTTGGTACTTGAATACAATGGTTAGCAAAAGCTCTGCTACCAGGGACTTGTCTCGTTGAGGATAAGACATTATTCAAATAAGAAGTCAACAATTGTAAATTCATGCCAATGATAACATTGTAAGGAGAAGGTATACAGAGACTGTGAAGCTCATAAAAGGGGACTTTTAATTACTGTTCTAATTTTGTCTAAATAGTGATATTTTTCATATCCCTATTCTTGCTCTTCTTCTCTTGCTGTACATTCTTCTTGGAAGCATGGTTTTAACCACTTGTATAGTTCGAATCTGTACGCAGGTGAGTCACATCTAGAACCTGGAGAGTAAGCCCCATGCCTGAACTCAGTGTGTCCCCTAAATTCTAACCTGCATATTTTCTGTCTCCTAACCACTGCCCCTGGATATCTCACAGACACCAAAAATCAGTATGATCAAAACTGGGCACATTGTCTTTCTTCTCTTCACAACAAAAACTGCTTCCCTTTTTATATTTCATGTTCTGTGAAGGATACTACCATCCAATCAGAGCCAAGCCATGTATCTGGCATTATCTTTAGTTCTTTGTTCTTATCTCCTTTAATCAATTGGCCCCTTTTGGTGAATTGTTATCAGCTACAGTCTAAAGGGGGAAGGTATTATATGCAAAAAAACCCTATCATGTTGAAGTTTCTGTCCAGTTCTGTGGTCTCATTTCTCATTGCTCTCCTCATTTTGCTCTAGAAATTATTATAGCTATTCTAACCTCTTGTAGTTTCTTTTTTTTAATGTTTATTTATTTTTGAGAGAGAGAGAGAGAGAGAGAGAGAGAAGAGCATGAATGGGGGAGGGGCAGAGAGAGAGAGAGGGAGGCACAGAATCTGAAACAGGCTTCAGGCTCTGAGCTATCAGAAGAGAGCCTGATGCGGGGCTCGAACTCACGAACTGCAAGATCATGACTTAGGCCAAAGTCAGATGCTTAACCAACTGAGCCCCCCAGGTGCTTCTAACCTCTTGCAGTTTCTTAAATGTTTCTCTCTCTTTTTATTTTTTAATTTTTATTTTATTTTTTTTTAATTTCAAAGTTTTTATTTGTTAGAGAGAGAGAGCACAAGCTGGGGAGGGGTAGGGAGAGAGAGAGAGAGGGAAACACAAAATCTGAAGTAGGCTCCAGGTTCTGAGCTTTCAGCACAGAGCCTGACACAGGGCCCAAACTTACCAACTGTGAGATCATGACCTGAGCTGAAGTCAGATGCTCAACTGACTGAGCCACCCAGGTGCCCCCCCCCCCCGCCAACGCTCTCTCTTTAGATTTCTTTCCTAAGTTTCCCTCTCCTAGAATATAAGTGTCATATGAAATACTGATGGTACAATACTTAAGAATGTCAACTCTGGAGTCAGAAAACCCTGGGTTAAAATCTTATTTCCATTGTTTACTTGCAACGGGTTAATGTTAATTGCTCGTACTGTTACTAAATTTTTAATTTGCAAAGCTGGGATAATAAGAGTACCTACCATACATAGTGTTAGGATTAAGTGAGGAGTGCCTGGATGGCACAATTGGTTAAGCATCCAACTCTTGGTTTCAGCTCAGGCCATGAGCTCATGATTGTGAGATTGAGCCCTGTGTCAGGCTCTGCAATGGGCGTGGAGCCTGCTTAGGATTCTCTTCCTCTCTCTGCCTCTTCCCCATGCTCATGCTCTCTCTCTCCCTGTCTTAAAATAAATAAAAACTTACAAAAGAGGATTAAGTGAGATAAGCATGTATATTTCATTTATCTTGGCAGTATTATTATTGCTATTATTATTTCAAACTTGATTAAAGTGTTGCTGTTTCTATATATCCTTTTCTGATATTTTCTGAGGCAATTGATAACTTTTCACCTTGTACACTTTCTGTACCATGTGAATACTTGTATGTACATTATTTATTACATTTGTTTATCTACATGTCTTTCTGTGTTTCTAAGTACATTGAGAAAACTTTGAAGATAGGGGACATGTTTTTAATATTTATATACATTTTACATTCCAACAGTGCTTAGTATGCAATAAGGATGTAATAAATATTTGTTCAGAGGGGAAAAAATCATGAAAACACTATTGATAATATTCTGGGTTAGTACATATTGGGCCCTGTTCCTGGTAATCTCTGATTTCGCAGG